TGTTCCACTCAGAACTACACTTAGAGATATACCTTGAAGGTAATTACTGAGAAAGCATAGTGTAGATCTAGCTTAAGGCACCTAAAATGGAGGAATATAGCAAATAATATTGTTGCAGTAATAACACCAGGAGGCAGCTCTGATGAAAACTCACACTCACACGAGCTTTTAAATCTCTGCACAAAATTCAATTTAAACCAGCAAATAATAGAGCCTACTAGAATGGAGAATACACTAGACCTCATCTTCACTAACAATGATGATCTGATAAGAAATGTCACCATATCAAAAACAATATACTCAGATCACAACATAATTGAGGTTCAGACATGTATGCACAGAGCCCCAGACCGACAAAATGAGATTAGTCACGAGGGAGCATTCACCAAATTCAACTTCAATAACAAAAACATAAAGTGGGACCAAGTAAAACAAGTCCTAACCGATATAAGCTGGGAAGATATACTAAGCAACACAGACCCCAACTTATGCCTAGAACAGATTAACTTGTGGCACTCGATGTATACACAAGACTTATTCCTCTAAGAAAAAGGAGGAGTAGATGTAAAATAGAAAGAGACAGGCGCTCTCTTTACAGGCGACGGAAAAGAATAACAGAGCGGCTAAAAGAGGTCAATCTATCTGAAATGCGTAGGGAGACACTGGTCAGAGAAATAGCAAACATCGAACTTAAGCTAAAGGAAACTTATAGGAGTCAGGAATCGCGGGGAAGAACTAAAAGCCATAAATGAAATCGAAAGAAACCCAAAGTATTTCTTCTCCTATGCCAAATCAAAGTCGAGAACAACGTCCAGTATTGGGCCCTTACTTAAACAAGATGGGTCCTACACAGATGACAGCAAGGAAATGAGTGAGCTACTCAAGTCCCAATAGACTCAGTTTTTAGCAAGCCACTAACCAGACTGAGAGTCGAAGATCAAAATGAATTTTTTATGAGAGAGCCACAGAATTTGGTTAACACAAGCCTATCTGATGTTATCCTGACGCCAAATGACTTCGAACAGGCGATAAATGACATGCCCATGCACTCTGCCCCAGGGCCAGACTCATGGAACTCCGTGCTCATCAAGAACTGCAAGAAGCCCCTATCACGAGCCTTTACCATCCTATGGAGAGGGAGCATGGACACGGGGGGCGTCCCACAGTTACTAAAAACAACAGACATAGCCCACACTCATAAAGGGGGCAGTAAAGCAACAGCAAAGAACTACAGACCGATAGCACTAACATCCCATATCATAAAAACTTTGAAAGAGTCCCTTCTTTTTTATTATAATAATTTGAAAGAGTCCTAAGAAGCAAGATCACCCGTCTAGAAACCCATCAGTTACACAACCCAGGGCAACATGGGTTTAGAACAGGTCGCTCCTGTCTGTCTCAACTATTGGATCACTACGACAAGGTCCTAGATGCACTAGAAGACAAAAGAATGCAGATGTAATATATACAGACTTTGCAAAAGCCTTCGACAAGTGTGACCATGGCGTAATAGCGCACAAAATGCGTGCTAAAGGAATAACAGGAAAAGTCGGTCGATGGATCTATAATTTCCTCACTAACAGAACACAGAGTAGTAGTAGTCAACAGAGTAAAGTCCGAGGCAGGCACGGTGAAAAGCTCTGTTCCACAAGGCACAGTACTCGATCCCATCTTGTTCCTCATCCTCATATCTGACATAGACAAGGATGTCAGCCACAGCACCGTGTCTTCCTTTGCAGATGACACCCGAATCTGCATGACAGTGTCTTCCATTGCAGACACTGCAAGGCTCCAGGTGGACATCAACCAAATCTTTCAGTGGGCTGCAGAAAACAATATGAAGTTCAACGATGAGAAATTTCAATTACTCAGATATGGTAAACACGAGGAAATTAAATCTTCATCAGAGTACAAAAATTCTGGCCACAAAATAGAGCGAAACAAAAACGTCAAAGACCTGGGAGTGATCATGTCGGAGGATCTCACCTTCAAGGACCATAACATTGTATCGATCGCATCTGCTAGAAAAATGACAGGATGGATAATGAGAACCTTCAAAACGAGGATGCCAAGCCCATGATGACACTCTTCAGGTCACTTGTTCTATCTAGGCTGGAATATTGCTGCACACTAACAGCACCTTTCAAGGCAGGTGAAATTGCTGACCTAGAAAATGTACAGAGAACCTTCACGGCGCACATAACGGAGATAAAACACCTCAGTTACTGGAGCGCTTGAGGTTCCTGAACCTGTATTCCCTGGAACACAGGCGGGAGAGATACATGATTATATACACCTGGAAAATCCTAGAGGGACTAGTACCGAACTTGCACACGAAAATCACTCACTACGAAAGCAAAAGACTTGGCAGACAATGCAACATCCCCCAATGAAAAGCAGGGGTGTCACTAGCACGTTAAGAGACCATACAATAAGTGTCAGGGGCCCGAGACTGTTCAACTGCATCCCAGCATACATCCCTGGAGTTTACCTGGAGAGAGTTCCGGGGGTCAACGCCCCCGCAGCCCAGTCTGTGACCAGGCCTCCTGGTGGATCAGAGCCTGATCAACCAGGCTGTTACTGTGCTGCTGCACGCAATCAACGTACGAGCCACAGGGCCCCGGGTGATCAGGAACCGACTTTAGGTGCTTGTCCAGTGCCAGCTTGAAGACTGCCAGGGGTCTGTTGGTAATCCCCCTTATGTATGCTGGGAGGCAGTTGAAAAAGTCCGGGCCCCTGACACTTATTGTATGGTCTCTTAACGTGCTAGTGACACCCCTGCTTTTTTATTGGGGGGACGTTGCATCGTCTGCCAAGTCTTTTGCTTTCGTAGTGAGTGATTTTCGTGTGCAAGTTCGGTACTAGTCCCTCTAGGATTTTCCAGGTGTATATAATCATGTATCTCTCCCGCCTGCGTTCCAGGGATTACAGGTTCAGGAACCTAAAGCGCTCCCAGTAATTGAGGTGTTTTATCTCCGTATGCGCGCCGTGAAGGTTCTCTGTACATTTTCTAGGTCAGCAATTTCACCTGCCTTGAAAGGTGCTGTTAGTGTGCAGCAATATTCCAGCCTAGATAGAACAAATGACCTGAAGAGTGTCATCATGGGCTTGGCATCCCTCGTTTTGAAGGTTCTCATTATCCATCCTGTCATTTTTCTAGCAGATGCGATTGATACAATGTTATGGTCCCTTTAAGGTGAGATCCTCCGACATGATCACTCCAGGTCTTTGACGTTGGTGTTTCGCACTATTTTGTGGCCAGAATTTGTTTTGTACTCTGATGAAGATTTAATTTCCTCGTGTTTACCATATCTGAGTAATTGAAATTTCTCATCGTTGAACTTCATATTGTTTTCTGCAGCCCACTGAAAGATTTGGTTGATGTCTGCCTGGAGCCTTGCAGTGTCTGCAGTGGAAGACACTGTCATGCAGATTCGGGTGTCATCTGCAAAGGAAGACACGGTGCTGTGGCTGACATCCTTGTCTATGTCAGATATGAGGATGAGGAACAAGATGGGAGCGAGTACTGTGCCTTGTGGAACAGAGCTTTTCACCGTGCCTGCCTCGGACTTTACTCTGTTGACTACTACTCTTTGTGTTCTGTTAGTGAGGAAATTATAGATCCATCGACCGACTTTTCCTGTTATTCCTTTAGCACGCATTTTGTGCGCTATTACGCCATGGTCACACTTGTCGAAGGCTTTTGCAAAGTCTGTATATATTACATCTGCATTCTTTTTGTCTTCTAGTGCATCTAGGACCTTGTCGTAGTGATCCAATAGTTGAGACAGACAGGAGTGACCTGTTCTAAACCCATGTTGTCCTGGGTTGTGTAACTGATGGGTTTCTAGATGGGTGGTGATCTTGCTTCTTAGGACTCTTTCAAAGATTTTTAAGATATGGGATGTTAGTGCTATCGGTCTGTAGTTCTTTGCTGTTGCTTTACTGCCCCCTTTGTGGAGTGGGGCTATGTCTGTTGTTTTTAGTAACTGTGGGACGACCCCCGTGTCCATGCTCCCTCTCCATAGGATGGTAAAGGCTCGTGATAGGGGCTTCTTGCAATTCTTGATGAACACGGAGTTCCATGAGTCTGGCCCTGGGGCAGAGTGCATGGGCATGTCATTTATCGCCTGTTCGAAGTCATTTGGCATCAGGATAACATCAGATAGGCTTGTGTTAACCAAATTTCTGTGGCTCTCTCATAAAAAATTCATTTTGATCTTCGACTCTCAGTCTGGTTAGTGGCTTGCTAAAAACTGAGTCATATTGGGACTTGAGTAGCTCACTCATTTCCTTGCTGTCATCTGTGTAGGACCCATCTTGTTTAAGTAAGGGCCCAATACTGGACGTTGTTCTCGACTTTGATTTGGCATAGGAGAAGAAATACTTTGAGTTTCTTTCGATTTCATTTATGGCTTTTAGTTCTTCCCGCGATTCCTGACTCCTATAAGATTCCTTTAGCTTAAGTTCGATGTTTGCTATTTCTCTGACCAGTGTCTCCCTACGCATTTCAGATAGATTGACCTCTTTTAGCCGCTCTGTTATTCTTTTCCGTCGCCTGTAAAGAGAGCGCCTGTCTCTTTCTATTTTACATCTACTCCTCCTTTTTCTTAGAGGAATAAGTCTTGTGCATACATCGAGTGCCACCAAGTTAATCTGTTCTAGGCATAAGTTGGGGGTCTGTGTTGCTTAGTATATCTTCCCAGGTTATATCGGTTAGGACTTGGTTTACTTGGTCCCATTTTGTTTTTGTTATTGAAGTTGAATTTGGTGAATGCTCCCTCGTGACTAATCTCATAAGGGGGATTACCAACAGATCCCTGGCAGTCTTCAAGCTGGCACTGGACAAGCACCTAAAGTCGGTTCCTGATCAGCCGGGCTGTGGCTCGTACATTGGTTTGCGTGCAGCCAGCAGTAACAGCCTGGTTGATCAGGCTCTGATCCATCAGGAGGCCTGGTCACAGACCGGGCCGCGGGGGCGTTGACCCCCGGAACTCTCTCCAGGTAACTCCTAGTGCTTGCAGTTTTGCGAAGAGTCCCTAGTGCCATACTCAGTGGAAATGTAGCAATGTCCAGTGCTACTACACAGCTGACTGTGGATTCACCTAGTGACTGGTGCCACTGAGTAGAGAAGTTTAACAACAGATCAGCAGAAGAGTGACCTTTTCTAAAGCCATATTGACTGTCACAAAGAAGTGAATGGTAGTGGAAAAACTCATTCTCATTTGTTGTGAGGTTATTGTCTCGGGAATCTTGTCAGTGATTGACAAAACTGACACAAGTCTGTGGTTGTTGATTTCCATTCTGCTCTTCTTTTTGTGAACAGGGAAATACATTTGCCTCTTTCCATTTACACTGCAAGGCACTGCTGATAGATGCGAGTTAGAGGTCCTGCTAGCTAGTCTGCACATCTACTCAGCAATCTTGGGCTCACCTATCTGGTCCCACAGCCTTTTTCTTCCTCTCTGTCTGCCTATACTCACCTATTTGTATTTCTCAGTTCCTCACGTATGGACTTTGTGCCTATTTTGAATATAATAATAATAATAATAATAATAATAATCCACAAAGTAAAAGTGAGACTCATTCCCCATGGTGTCCACTGATAGACATGCTGTAGTCTCTAAATAGATAATCACATACAAAAAACCACATATTATTATTATTATGATAATGAAGATGTTGCTTATTACAAAGAGGTTCACCATTACTGCCACACAGGATGCTGGCCATCTGTGATGTCTCAGCAGATCCTGGAGGATCTAGAGAGTCCATGACAAAGTGTACCACCATTGACACACTCTTCTGTGTCTACGATGCCGACCAGAATAAAGACACTTAACAGGTACACAAGTAAAGATAGTGAGAGAAAAAAACGACAGGCAGAGTTAGTGGCTTTCTTTGTACTTACAATATTCTATAACATGTAAATCACACATTGTGATTAATATTGTGGAACCTTGTTACAGCATCAAGGGCCCTGGGGTACTGGTGTGCAGCATAGACAATATGCCCACACAGCTGCCCAGGGAAGCCACGGATTTCCTCGGGGTCTCTGCTGCTGCCTCACATGTACGACATCTTGCAGTCTGATGCCTCCAAGCCCTTCGAGGAGCAGTCATTCACCCACGAAGTGCTTGGGGTTAGTTTTTTGATGTTCATTTGTGAAGCTCATGGGATCAGTCTCTTGATGTTCAGTTATTAAATTCATGCGTCTGACTGACCTTGGCTACAAGACTGACTGTAAGTCTGAGTGACCTTACCTTGAGTTTACCTGGAGAGGGTTTCAGGGGTCAACACCCCCGCAGCCCGGTCTGAGACCAGGCCTCATGGTGGATCAGGGTCTGATCAACCAGGCTGTTACTGCTGGCTGCACGCAAGCTGACGTACGAACCATAACCCGGTTGGTCAGGTACTGACTTCAGGTGCCTGCCCAGTGCCTTCTTGAAGACAGCCAGGGGTCTGTTGGTAATCCCCCTTAAGTATGCTAGGAGGCAATTGAACAGTCTTGGGCCCCAGACACTTATTGTGTTGTCTCTGTGTACTCGTGGCACCCCTGCTTTTCATTGGAGGAATGTTGTATCTCCTGCCAAGTCTTTTGCTTTCATATGGAGTGATTTTCATGTGCAGGTTTGGTACCAATCCTTCCAGGACCTTCCGAGTGTATATTATCATGTATCTCTCTCGCCTGCGTTCGAGGGAATACAGACCAAGGACCTTCAACCTTTCCCAGTAGTTTAGGTGACTTATCGCACTTATGTGTGCCATGAAAGTTCTTTGTACACTCTCCAGGTCAGCAATGTTGCCAGCCTTGAAGGGGACAGTTGGTGTACAGCAGTACTCCAGGGTAGAGAGAACAAGCGGTTTAAAGAGAATCGTCATGGGTTTGGTGTCCCTAGTTTTGAAGGTTCTCATTATCCATCCTATCACTTTCTTAGCAGATGCGGTAGATACATTGTTGTGGTCTTTGAAGTTGAGATCCTCTGACATTATCACTTTCAGGTCCTTCACATTACTTTTTTGCTCTATTGTATGGTTGGAATAATGCTGCTATGTATGATAATGTATGTAGCTATGTGTACCTGTAACTGAATAAACTTGCTTCTGAGAAAAGTGCTAGACAAGAGTAAAGCAGCAGCAGGTCACACTGGGTCACTAGTAAGCAGCAGCAGGTCACTCTGGGTCACTAGTAAGCAGCAGCAGGTCACACTGGGTCACAACTAGTAAGCAGCAGCAGCAGGTCACTCTGGGTCACAACTAGTAAGCAGCAGCAGGTCACTCTGGGTCACAACTAGTAAGCAGTAGCATCAGGTCACTCTGGGTCACAACTAGTAAGCAGTAGCATGAGGTCACAACTCATAAACAGCAGTTCACTGGGTCACAGCTGGAAAAAGGCAGCAGGTCATACTGGGTGACATCTAGCAAGCAACAGCAGGTCACACTGGGTCATAACTAGCAAGCAGCAGCAGGTCAATCTGGGTCAGAACTAGGAAGCTGTCCATAACAAGGGACTTTCCATGGAATGTACTGTAGAAAAAAAATGAACTGTACTCCTGAAATAGACTGTACTCCTGAAGTAAACTGTACCACTGAAATACTGTTCCACTGAAATAGATTGTACTCCTGAAGTAGACTGTACTCTGAAAGCTGTACTCTGAAGTAGACTCTGATATGTATCTGAATGATACTACTGAAGTGATGTATCTGAAATAGACTGTACTCCTGAAGTAGACTGTACTACCAGGATCATTCTCTACAACCTGTATTCCTTTAAAATAATATTACATGTATTATTGTAATTGGTATTATTTAATCTGATTATTATTAATGTACATTTTAGTTTTCAGCTGAAACTGAGTCAGTTGAGTGCAGGAAGCAAAATTAGTCTCTGTGACTAATATTTCATAATGACTAATACATGTATTTCATAATGTTAAAGCTCCCGCTTCACACACGGAGGGCCCAGGTTCGATTCCCGGCGGGTGGAAACATTTCGACATGTTTCCTTATACCTGTTGTCTTGTTCACCTAGCAGCAAATAGGTACCTGGGTGTTAGTCGACTGGTGTGGAGTCACATTCTGGGGGACAAGATTGAGGACCCCAATGGAAATAAGTTAGACAGTCCTCGATGACACACCGACTTTCTTGGGTTATCCTGGGTGGCTAACCTCGGAGTTAAAAATCCGAACGAAATCTTATCTCTTATCTCATAATGTTTATTTGTGTATATATGTGTATTGTTGATGATTATAATGTTCCAGGTGTGGTAATTGCTGTGCCAGGCTGTGTCTGCTGCAACAGTGATCAACACAGCAACATTGACCAGTCTGAGGAGTGGAAACAACCACACTAGTAACATTTAGTGTTATACCTGGAGAGGGTTACTCCAGGTATGTGGAGATGCAGCAACTGGTGACGTCGTCAAAGGTGGGCGGGGCCCACCTGTAAGGTATTTCCAGGTTACAAGTTCACTGAAGTTTGGTTATTGAAGCAGATAGTAATTATATTAGGTGGGAAGGTGGTGGGAGAGTACAGGAAAGATTGTAAAGAATTTATATCAATAGTAGCTTAGTGGGAAGTATTAGCTTATCTCCTGACCAGAGATGAAATCTCTGGCCAGGAAATAATGGGGAATGTATTCTATAGGTTACCTTGAATGGGGTTTACCTGGAGTGGGTTTCGGGGGTCAACGCCCCTGCGGCCCAGTCTGAGAATAGGCCTCACGGCTGTTATTGCTGGCTGCACGCAAGCTGACATACAAACCACAGCCCGGTTGGTCAGGTACTGAATTAGAGATAAAAATTGGAGAAATGGGTTGTAAAACTTAGAACTGAAGACATTATATTTTAAGAAGTTTTAGTTAGTCGAACATCTTTATTATGCAGCTGATACACATCCTGCAAGACTGTAGGACTCGGAAATGAAATGTGTGATATATCATGGCTCAGTTGGCTGCCTTCTAGCATACATCAGGGGGATTACCAATAGACCCCTGGCTGTCTTCAGGAAGGTGCTGGACAGGCAGTATGCTAGGAGGCAGTTGAACAGTCTTGGGCCCCTGACATTTATTGTGTTTTCTTAATGTGCTAGTGGCACCCCTGCTTTTCATTGGGGGGATGTTGCATCGTCTGCCAAGGCTTTTGCTTTCGTAGGGAGTGATTTTCGTGTGCAAGTTTGGTACTAATTCCTCTAGGATTTTCCAAGTGTATATAATCATGCATCTCTCTCGCCTGCATTCTATGGAGTACAGGTTTAGGAACTTCAAATGTTCCCAGTAATTAAGGTGTTTTATCTCAGTTATGCGTGCTGTGAAGGTTCTCTGTACATTTTCCAGGTCAGCAGTTTCACCTGCCTTGAAAGGTGCTGTTAGTGTGCAGCAATATTCCAGCCTACATAGAACAAGTGACCTGAAGAGTGTCATCATGGGCTTGGCATCCCTAGTTTTGAAGGTTCTCATTATCCATCCTGTCATTTTTTCTAGCAGATGCAATGGATACAATGTTATGGTCCTTTAAGGTGAGATCCTCTGACATGATCACCTCCAAGTCTTTAACATTAATTTCTCGCTCTATTGTGTGGTTGGAATTTGTTTTATACTCCGATGTAGCTTTAATTTCCTCACGTTTTCCATATTGGAGTAATTGAAATTTCTCATCATTGAACTTTATATTGTTTTCTGCGGCCCATTTAAAGATTTGGTCGTGTCTATGGAGTTCTATACAGTGTATGCAATGGAGGTCACTGTCATGCAAATTCAGGTGTCATCTGAAAAGGAAGACATCGGTGCTGTTGTATGATGATTTATATATTTGTGTATCTGAATGAACTTACTAATAACGTCTTAATCTTTAGTAAGCAAGTGTATTTTAGGTACGGGTATGCATTATCATACATAGTATAAATTACCTAGGATAACCCAAAATTAAAGTGACTTAGTTCAATTTTAATTATTTCAAAATACTTTACATACCATGTGGCTGACCTTTGTGGTCTACCAGTGTTTTTTACATGTAAAAACTATATGTTCTCCCGGAGTATCAATGAGAAATGTAAATCATTTGATGTGAACCCTACCAGCTGTGTTTATTGTGCACCCCATACCCAGCCTGTGGGTGCACCCCATGCCCAGCCTGTGGGGTGCACCCCATACCCCAGCCTTTTGGGTGCCCACCCCATAACCCATAACCCATGTGGGTGCACCCCATACCAGCATGTGGGTGCACCCCATACCCAGCCTGTGGGTGCACCCTATACCCAGCTGTGGGTGCACCCCATACCCAGCCTGTGGGTGCACCCCATACCCAGCCTGTGGGTGCACCCCATACCCAGCCTGTGGGTGCAACCCCATACCAGCCTGTGGGTGCACCCCATACCAAGCATGTGGGTGCACCCCATACCCAGCCTGTGGGTGCACCCATACCCAGCCTGTGGGTGCATCCCCATACCCAGCCTGTGGGGTGCACCCCATACCCAGCTGTGGGGCACCCATACCCAGCCTGTGGGTGCACCCCATACCCAGCTGTGGGTGCACCCCATACCCAGCTTGTGGGTGCACCCATACCTAGCCTGTGGGTGCACCCCATACCCAGCCTGTGGGTGCACCCCATACCCAGCTGTGGGTGCACCCCATACCATCCTGTGGGTGCACCCCATACCCAGCCTGTGGGTGCACCCCATACACAGCCTTGTGGGTGCACCCCATACCCAGCCTGTGGGTGCACCCATTACCCAGCCTGTGGGTGACACCCCTTACCCATACGCCTGTGGGTGGCACCCCATACCCAGCCTGTGGGTGCACCCCATACCCAAGCCTGTGGGTGCACCCCATACCCAGCCTGTGGGTGCAACCCCATACCCAGCCTGTGGGTGCACCCATACCCAGCCTGTGGGGCACCCCATACCCAGCCTGTGGGGGCACCCCATACCAGCCTGTGGGTGCACTCCATTCCCAGCCTGTGGGTGCACCCATACCTAGCCTGTGGGTGCATCCCATACCCAGCCTGTGGGTGCATCCATACCCAGCCTGTGGGGCATCCCATACTAGCCTGTGGGTGCCACCCCATACCCATCCTGTGGGGGGCACCCCATACCCAGCCTGTGGGTGCACCCCATACCAAGCATGTGGGTGCACCCCATACCCAGCCTGTGGGTGCACCCCATACCCAGCCTGTGGGGGCACCCCACGGGCTGGGTATGGGGTGCCCCGATTCGCTCTCCAGGAGCTTTATCAAGCCGTACACACACAGCTTGATAAAGTTCTTGGAGAGCGAAACGTTGCCACAAAAAAATGTCACATTAGTTGCATTTGTGTCCTTTTACCTAACATATTGTTGGTAATTCTACAAAACTATGTAAATATACTGTACCTATACTATTATTATAACTGATAATTATACTTATGTGTACCTGTACCTAAATAAACTTACACACTGTGCTGGTGTGCAGGTGCACATTAAAAATCACTAAGAGTGTCTTATTAGTCTTGAAGATGCCATATTAATAATAATAATAATAATAATAATAATAATTACACTAATAATCACTGAGGCGCATTAAATATTGTAAAGAACTAACTTATTAGTTATTAGTGATATATTGAAAAGATAAGCCAAAGGTAGGCCAAGTTCCTCTTTACATTCCTTTAAAACCCTTGCAAACAGTTCATAAGGGCCTGGGGATTTGTTAGGCTTTAATTTCTCTATTTGTCTGAGGACCATGTCACTAGTTACCGTAATCATACATAGTTTATCATCATCCTTTTCTACATAATTTATTATTTCTATAATTTTGCTCGTATCTTCTTGGGTAAAAAACTGAGAGGAAGTAGGTAATGAAAAGTTCACACATTTCCTTATCACTGTCAGTGATCTGACCTGAGTTACTTGTAAGTGGGCCTATCTTGTCCCTAATCTTACTTCTGTATACCTGAAAGAACCCTTTTGGGTTAGTCTTCGAATCCATTGCAACTTTAACCTCATAATCCCATTTTGCTTTTCTTATTCCTTTTCTTCTTTCTCATTTTAATTGAATATATTAATTTCTTATCTGCCCTTCCCCTCTTTTGATGTGCCTATACAGTAAGCCCCCGCTTTACGGCATTTCGCCTTACTGCATTCCACTAATACAGCGATGTCAAATTATGACCATAATTTGCTATACGGCAAACGGTCTTTCAAATACGGCGCCCCCCACCTGGTTTGTTTACATTTTCTGTGACCACATCTATTATGTCAGGAAACTTTCAAAAATTTCAAGTGTTTTAAAGTTACTGCATATTTTATACGTACTCTGATAATTATACAGTGGATCCCTGGTTCACGATGTTAATCCGTTCCTGAGAGCTCATCGTAAACCAAAATTATTGGAAAGCGAATCAATATTCCCCATAAGAAATAATGGAAATCAAATTAATCCGTGCAAGACACCCAAAAGTATGAAAAAAAAACTTTTACCACATGATATATTAAGTTTAATGCAATATAATAATTACAATAACAATAATAACAATAGAATAATCACAATAGAATAATTGACACTTACCTTTAATGAAAATCTGGTGATTGATGGGATGGGAGGAGGGGAGGAGATGTCGAAGTTTTTAATGTTTAGAAGGGGAATCCCCCTCCATTAGGACTTGAGGTAGCAAGTCCTTTTCCGGGGTTACTTCCCTTCTTCTTTTAATGCCACTAGGACCAGCTTGAGAGTCACTGGACTTCTATCGCACAACATATCTGTCCATAGAGGCCTGTACCTCTCATTCCTGTATGACTTTCCTAAAGTGGTTCACAACATTGTCAGTGTACAGGTTGCCAACACGGCTTGTAGTAGCTGTGTCAGGGTGATTTTCATCAAAAAAGCTTTGAACTTCAAGCCACTTTGCACACATTTCCTTAATTTCAATAGTCATTAGCACCCTTGGTCTCGATGGGTTGGCAGTAGAAGCTTTCTTGGGGCCCATGGTGACTTATTTTGCAGAAACAAGCACCAAAAACAGTGATAATATGAATAATATAGAATGTACCGAATGTATCCTTAGATGTGCGCACACTGGCTGGCTTGTAAACACTGGACACATCTCATACGAATCGTATTGCATACCGAGTTTTGTAACGGGAACTGAGGCAAATTTTTTGCGATATAATGCTTCGGATACCGGATTTACCGGATACTGATGGCTTCGCGAACCGGGGGTCCACTGTACTTATGTGTACCTGTACCTAAATATACTTACATACTGTGCTGGTGTGCAGGTACACATTAAAATCGCTAAGAGTCTCTCTACTCATGATGCCCCAATACTACGTAATAATAATCACTCTTGGGCACACTAAATGTCTTATTTTACATCAATATAGGCATTTTCATTAATCCATCTATATATGAAACCCATTACATAGCATATAAACATGATACATACACTCACAGAATAAAAATTGATGTAAATATGAGATTTGTTTACAAAGCAGCTGTGTAGGTAGTGTCGGAAGAATTAAGTTTTCTCTAGTCAAACACTGGGGGGTAACTAGAAAAATATTCTTTTCGTATGCCTTTATATATAGCAATTCATGACCCTTGTGGGTTTAGTGCTTTTATAATAATAATAATATTATTATTAATTATTATTATTAATAATATATTATTATTATTATTTTCATTCACTCTAAAAATGGCGTGTTGCTGTTTGTTTATTCTGAACTAACTTGTACAACTTGTACACAATGTAAGAGTACAGTGGACCCCCGCATAACGATGGCATCGCATAGCGATTTTTCCGCATAACGATTACTTTTATCGCAAAATTTTTGCCCCGCATACCGATTAAAAACCCGCATACCGATTTTCGTCCGAGACGCGTCCAATGTGCCCTCAGCCAGCCTCACATGTGCCGCTCCGTCCCATTGTTATACCAAGCCAGCCTCCGCGGTAACATCCAAGCATACACTCGGAATATTTCGTATTATTACAGTATTTTCGGTGCTGTTTCTGGAAAATAAGTGACCATGGGCCCCAAGAAAGCTTCTAGTGCCAACCCTACACCTCAAAGGGTAAGAATTACTATAGAGATGAAGAAAGAGATAATTGATAAGTATGAAAGTGGAGTGCGTATAGCCGACCTAGTCAAGCTGTACAAGAAACCCCAATCAACCATCGCTACTATTGTGGGCACCAGAAGACAAATCAAGGAAGCTGTTCTTGCCAAAGGTTCAACTGTGTTTTCGAAACAAAGATCGCAATTGATGGAAGATGTTGAGAGACTCTTATTGGTGTGGATAAATGAAAAACAGATAGCAGGAGATAGCGTCTCTCAAGCGATCATATGTGAAAAGGCTAGGAAGTTGCATGACGATTTAATTAAAAAAATGCCTGCAACTAGTGATGATGTGAGTGAATTTAAGGCCAGCAAAGGTTGGTTTGAGAGATTTAAGAAGCGTAGTGGCATCCATAGTGTGATAAGGCATGGTGAGGCTGCCAGTTCGGACCACAAAGCGGCTGAAAAATATGTGCAGGAATTCAAG